TTAAAATATTCAAGAATTCATGCTTTAAAAAGTGATCACAAATAATAGCTAAAAACGTCGAAAACTCAATATTTAAGGAGTTATGGCCATTTTAAAATATTCAATAATTGATGTCACTATAAGTGATAACAAATAATAGCTAAAAACGCCGAAAACTCAATATTTAAGGAGTTATAGTCATTTTAAAATATTCAATAATTGATGCTTTAAAAAGTGGTCACAAATTATAGCTAAAATTGCCAAAAACTCAATATTTAAGGAGTTATTGCCATTTTAAAATATTCAATAATTGATGCTCTAGAAAGTGATCACAAATAATAGCTGAAATCGCCGAAAACTCAATATTTAAGGAGTTATGGCCATTTTAAAATATTCAATAATTGATGTCACTATAAGTGATAACAAATAATAGCTAATATCGCCGAAAACTCAATATTTAAGGAGTTATGGCCATTTTAAAATATTCAATAATTCATGCCTAGAAAAGTGATCACAAATAATAGCTAAAATCGCCGAAAACTCAATATTTAAGGAGTTATGGCCATTTTAAAATATTCAATAATTCATGCTTTGGAAAGTGATCACAAATAACAGCTTAAATTGCCGAAAACTTAATATTTAAGGAGTTATAGCCATTTTAAAATATTCAATAATTCATGCTTTAAAAAGTGATCACAAATAATAGCTAAAAACGTCGAAAACTCAATATTTAAGGAGTTATGGCCATTTTAAAATATTCAGTAATTCATGCCTAGAAAAGTGATCACAAATAACAGCTAAAAACGCCGAAAACTCAATATTTAAGGAGTTATGGCCATTTTAAAATATTCAATAATTCATGCCTAGAAAAGTGATCACAAATAATAACTAAAAACGCCGAAAACTCAATATTTAAGGAGTTATGGTAATTTTAAAATATTCAATAATTCATGCTTTAATTGCCGAAAACTCAATATTTAAGGAGTTATGGCCATTTTAAAATATTCAATAATTGATATCTCTATAAGTGATCACAAAGAATAGCTAAAATCGAAGAAAACTCAATATTTAAGGAGTTATAGCCATTTTGAAATATTCAATAATTCATGATTAGAAAAGTGATCACAAATAATAGCTAAAAACGCCGAAAACTCAATATTTAAGGAGTTATGGCCATTTCAAAATATTCAATAATTCATGCTTTAAAAAGTGATCACAAATAATAGTTAAAAACGCCGAAAACTCTATATTTAAGGAGTTATGGCCATTTTAAAATATTTCGAAATTCTTGTCGCTCAAATGGCACTAACTGTCTAAATAAGTTGCTACTAGATGAGACATTAATAGCGGACCTGTTTTGCATGTCTCATAGAAATTGCAAGCTGAAATCTGCTAAAAGTCTTCTCTCCACAAAAGCCTTGTATTTGAAAGCTCTTTTATATGTTCGCCAAATCCTTAATATCACAATTTCTATTTATTCCTCTGTGTATGTCACATTTCATCGTGCAAAAACAAAAACCACCATACAAATCTAATTGACAGACATTGTAAATTAACAATTGTTTTGTATTGCTCTTATCATAAATTTTAATTGCCAATGATTATTGGTGAACAATTATTGCCGATTATTGTCATCATTTCACGTGTTTTTTGTTGTTTGGATAACAAGAGAAAAAAAGCTAGTACGGAAAAAAGAAAGAACCGAATTATGTCTGACGTTTCTTTGACGTGACATGTTTTCTCAACAAAATCTCCGCCATAAATCAAGTGGAAATTTTGTTGATGTGAATCATAACCGGTGATTGAGAAATGACAGAGGAAAACTAAGTTATCGTAGTGTTTTGTGCAATCAAAAACACTACATACGCATTTGAGAAATAGCGAGGGGGGGGAAAGGTTGTATAGGTGTGTTTTCTTTAGTTAAACCTCCTATAAATGTCGGAAACATCATAAACACATCGAACACAGTCATTCCTCTTCAATAAAGAGTTTACAAGACTTTTGGTTGTATGATTTTATTAAACAAATTGCTACGGGCCATGTTCGCTTCACATGGCCGAGGTAAAAAATTTCAATAATTTTCTGTAATGAAACCTTTGCTTCATTAAAGAAACAACAAAAATTGGAAGTTTTTTATTCAACCAAATTTCCCACGCCTACATTATTTTCAAATTCATCATAGGTCATGGATCAATGTACGTCATTCTGGTCACATAACTCGATTACACACGGGTAAACATTTATTTCAATTATTAGGAATTTTGAAAATTATCAAAAAAAGAAGAGGAGGTCTAATCTTGGATTACAAGTGTAATACAAAAACAGCAACAGCTTTGTTATAACGAAACGATGTTCGATCTTTTTGTACGTTACACAGTCAGGAAAAGTTATGTATTGTTACATTAGAATCGTATTTTTATCAAAGTAAAATTTGATAATGAAACAAGTGAAATATATAAACGTAGAATTTCAATCCATTTCGTTCCCAGGTTTAGTTATTATACCCTACAACACTATGAGCTGGGGGTATTATAGAGTTTGATTGGGCCAAAAATTATGTAACATCTCGAAATATTGATCCCCGACATAGGAAACTATATATGGATCTTTCTATCTCGCCGAGCTGAGTCTATCTAGCTATAATTTGTAATCACGCTACAGGTCGCAATTATGGCCCGATCCGAAATATTGCATGGAGGTGGGGTTATGGTCAGAACAGAAGCCTATTGCTTTGGGAGATGGTCTCAAAACATTTTGGGGTGAAAATGAACCAAAAACTGAAAAATCTCCTGATTTTGCAGTTGCTCTACAAGTTGCTATTGTAGACCAACCGATGCGGAAGTTAGCATGAGGCTACAGCTTAGAGCTGGGCAGAAGCCTTTCAATTTTGATGGTCATCGGGCAATACTTAGGAGGCGAAATAGGCCATAACATTTGTGTTAAATAAAAGTCAAATTTTCTATTAAACCGCGAATATTTTTAATGGCGGTGAAATCACAAATAGACGAAAAGATCACTTATGACCGTTACGTAGATGCCGATAGTAAATATATGGGATATACAGGGTGAGATGAAAAAAATGCAATCAACTTCAGACTGCTGTTATTTCTAAGCCACTCGTCCGACAGCTGCTAAAATTATTCCAGTAATAGCTCATTATATTGTTTACAAGCGGACAAAAGCATTTTGATGAGAATTTTCCAGAAAAAAGTAATTCGTGATGCAATTCAAGTTTGATAATGTCAATTCTTTATATTTGGCTGGAAAACCACAAGTGGCTATCGTTAGAGCACTCCAGCATTTAAATGTGAATAAATCTTTTGTGTCCCGTACCATCGCTCGTTACCGTGATACTGGTAGCGTAGCCCGACGTCATGGAAGTGAACGGAAGAAAACAGCAATATCAGCAGAAATGGTTCGAAAAGCAAAGAAGCGACTTGATCGAAAATCGCCTCGCAGTGGCCGAAAAATGGCTCGTGAGCTAAACATATCGCATTATTCCATTCGGCAAATATTAAAAAATGAGCTTGGGGTAAGCCATTGAAATTCCAAAAAGTGCAAGAACTTACACCGCAATAGAAAGGAAATAGACTCAAAAGAGCTAAAGAGTTGCTTCGCTTGGCCGAAAGTTGTGAACTGCCGAATTTGATTTTCTCCGATGAGAAAACATTCATTGCCAAGCAGTTTGTAAACAAACAAAATAATCGTTTTTACTTGCCAGAAAGGTCAGCTGAAAATGTGCACATTTGGTTGGCCACCAGAATTCAAACGCCGGCCATGGTGATGGTATGGGCCGCCATAACTGCCGATGGTCGCTCTCCGCTCGTATTAATCGACCGTGGCATCAGAATAAATGCCGAATATTATCGCGAAGATATTCTGGAGGGTGTATTAAAGCCTTGGGCACGCAAACATTTTGGCCGCAGACCTTGGACATTCCAACAGGACTCAGCACCATCGCACTCAGCACGCGCCACCCAAGAATAGTTACAAAATGAAGTTCCTCGCTTAATTTCCAGCGCACAATGGCCACCAAAATCTCCGGATACCAATCCGTTGGACTATTTTTTTGAAGAATTGTAGAAAGCAAGGTTGGCACTAAAAAATACCAAAGTATAGATCACCTCAAGCAAGCGCTTCGCCGGGAATGGTCCTAAATACCGCTGAGCAACATTCGGGCAACGTGTGACGGTTTCATTGGCCGTTTGAAGGCCATAATTCGTGCCAAAGGTGACCAATTCTAACAAACCTAAACTTATTCTAAAATTTGATGCTATTTCCGACAGTTTTGTGCTTTCGTTCAATAAAACTTAAAAAAGCAAATGTAAATGTAAAAAATTTTTAATAAAAACGCGAGTTTAATATCCGATTCCATTCACACTTGGTACACCTTAATATTTTCATCAACACAAGATCTGTTATAAAGATAAAAGAGATCGGAGAATTTCTTCTGGTACCTCCCCCACTTAGGTTTCAAGATTTTGAAAAAAAAAACGCTCAAAGAAAACAACATAAGCATCCAACTCTTCTCTCTCTTCAAATTTACACATACAAACATTTTTGGTAACACAAGATCTCTTGTGGAGATTATATATCTGCGAACCCCTTCTTATACCTCACCCACAAAGGGTCACAATTTTCAATACTTTTATCTGTCATCATTTGCGAAACGAGTCAGCGATCCTTTATCAAATTTTGAAATTTTGAGTCTTTAAAAAAATATTGATACAGATACAGCCCTTATATAAAGAAACGTCCTGCTTCTAGTTATTGCGAGAATCTTTACCGTTAGACTTCGCCGCGTCCCATGAAACCGAATTGAAATTCAAATAATCATATTTTTACTTAAGGTTTCACGGTCCTTAAGTCGATCCTAGCTGTCCTTGATTAAACCCTATTTATCACCCTCCTGGCGTTCAAAATATTTTGTGACAATGTGTCCCAAAGCGATTTCAGGAGGCACCAATTTTTTTATTGTCGTTGTATTAAAAACAAATGTGTGGTTGTATTTCATATTTCAATATTTTAATTATTTTTTCTTTCCCATCTTCGTTATAAGACCAAAAATTGTCAATTAAACTAGGCATTCCTCCAAACTTGAAATCCCACTTTAACATTCTTACACACGAATCTTACGGAATCGTGGATGACGTAGTGATATATCCTCTTCGGGCATTTTTTCTTCATTCGATTCACTCTCACTATCACCGGAAGAGCTTTCATTGGATTCGCTCTCGGAACTCTCTTCTGATTCACTGCCGCTACCACTGCCCGAAGAGTTTTCTTCACTGCCATCACCGGAAGAGTGATCTTCGTCGGAACCATCTGGCTTATCAGAGGGGGCGTCGGTAGGGGCATTTGTTGGGGCGTCGGTTGGAGCGTCCGTGGGGGCGTCCGTTGGTGCATCAGTTGGCGTATCTGTTGGTGCATCGGTAGGTGCATCAGTGGGTACATCGGTAGGAGCATCTGTTGGTGCATCGGTAGGTGCGTCTGTTGGAGCGTCCGTAGGGGCATCTGTGGGTGCATCAGTTGGAGCGTCTGTTGGAGCATCGGTAGGTGCATCTGTTGGTGCATCGGTTGGAGCATCGGTAGGTGCATCGGTAGGTGCATCCGTTGGTGCATCAGTGGGTGCATCGGTTGGTGCATCCGTTGGTGCATCAGTAGGTGCGTCTGTTGGAGCGTCCGTAGGGGCATCTGAGGGTGCATCTGTTGGTGCATCAGTTGGTGTATCGGTTGGTGCATCGGTAGGAGCATCTGTTGGTGCATCGGTAGGTGCGTCTGTTGGAGCGTCCGTAGGGGCATCCGTTGGCGCATCCGTTGGTGCATCAGTTGGTGCATCAGTCGGAGCATCGGTTGGTGCTTGTGTAGTTGATGTGCAAATATTGTTGTTAACTCCGTCCAAACAATCCAAAAACTCGGCATATGCATTATTGGCGTTCTCTTCGTATTCCACTTGGTTAACGAGGACACACGATTTTTCATTGCTTTCGACACGACGCAAATTCTCCTCCAACTCAGCCAATTTCAACGTGGCATCATTGGCAATAGTTTGCAGAGATTTGCTACCATGTGCACTCTACAAATATTAAAATCATTTTAAAATTTAACTCCCAGAACCTTATGACGTCACTACTCACCTCATCCACATAGCATTGGAAGACATTCTTGGCTCCCTCATCTTGCCTACACTGGACAACAGGGGCACACACATTATTCGATCGTTCCGATAAATCTCTCAAATCATCGGTAGCTGCCTCCTCTAAGGCTGCACGAGCTGCCGCAGCTGCTGTAGAACATCCTTTATTTTTCGCCTCAAACTCTTCGGTCAGTTCGGATAGCAAGGGGATGAAGCAATCAAAACAGGACAGCGAACGTGTGGGATTTTGTTTCAACAAATCATTAGAACGCGATATAAAATTAATTAGACCTAAATCGGCTGTATGTTTCACGGACAGATGATCCTTGCCGGCTGCCAATGTCACCCAGACAACGAAGACAAGACAAATTATGGAACGCATTTTATTTACTTTTTTCGGTTTTCCTAATATGTTCGATTAGGTCGCGTTTAATGTTTGTAATTGAAGATCGATATCGGTACTGATTTCGCATTATCATTTGCAGAAGGTTTTTATACTCCGCAAAAAAGAATTGAAATGTTTTTCTGTCGATTAGTGGTAGGCAATAAATAATTGTTTTATGACCATTATTAAAGAAGTTCTGCTAAAAATGAATTTCCTCGACTGATATGACAACAAGAAAAGAAACGCTGAGAGCCAATGTGACCTAAATCACAGATAATGAAATTAAGTAAGAAGGAGTTGCTTTCAAAAAATTGAGAAATGTCTTTCGATTTTCCAAAATTTATATCTGATTTCCTACAAAGCGTCATTTTTGAAAGATTACGTCAAAGAAAACAAGTAAAAACAAGTAAGCAAAGACTACAGTCGAGCGGGGCCGACCGTTGAATACCCTACAACACTATAATAAACGATACAGTTTATATAGGCAAGATACTCGAAAGAATTTCACAAGATATTGTGACAAATAATAAAAGAAAACCATCAGGTTTAGTTCTCTAATTTTCGAATAATAGCAACTTAAACTAATTTGCTCATTTTCCAATTTATTGGTAGAAGTTGCACTTAAATGGTCTTCCTAGATCTGGAACCAATATTTCCCAAAGACCTATAATCTCTCAGAAGTGGCAAAAGATAAACATTTACTATTGGTTTTTGACTTAAACGCATCTATATGAGATACAGCCATTTGACTATATTCTTCAACTAAATCAGCGTTAACGAAATAGTCAGAGGTGCGTCTTTCCTGTATTTGTGAATTCTCCAAGTATTTTGTCTACAAAAGTTGGCAAACTATTTCGCACATTGAATATTTTTGGATGGCCTTCCAAAACTGCTTGGCTTTTGCAATGTCCGGTAACCCCCATTCAAATGTGCCTGAGGATCGGACGATAATTACGACCTGCTGACAATTTTGCAGTTTTTTGGTCCATTTCAACCCCTAAATATATGGCGATCATCTCCAAAAAGAGTAGGCTTCTATTCTGACCCTCATCTTATCCCCATGCAAAATTTCGTAAGGATGGGGCCATAAATGCGATCTGTATATGATATCCTGATATCCTAACTACTTAGTTTTCTTAGCTGTAGAAATATTACCAAAAATTTAATTCAAAATGAAAATATGCCAAAAATATGACAAAATTGAAAAAATTTGAGAAAATTTTACAAAATCAATATTTTCATCTTTAGAGAGATATTTTTATGCGATTTTTTTAAAGGTTTTTTCTTTCCTGTCAAGAGGTCATTCTGAATTAATGAGAACGGTCGAAATCAGTTCAGCCGTTCTCGACATATAAGAGATCTTTCAAGCATATCTTCTTTGATAGACATATATATCGCACATATTTTGCTATATATCCGATTTATTGGATGTTAATATCAATGTAAAGATCAGAAGTAACCCTGTCATGGCTTTGTGATTTCGCCGGGATTTAAAATATTCGCGGTTTAATGAAAAATTTCGAAGTTTTTCAATACAAAAGATATGGTCTATTTTACCCGCTAAATATAATCCGATGACCACCCAAATTGGTAGGCTTCTTCCCCGCCCTAAACTCTAGCTACATGCGAAATTCCGCGTCGATTGGTCTATAATTGCGACGTGTATAGCTATTGCAAAATCCGACATTTTTTCAGTATTTGGTCCATTTCAACCCCTAAACATTTGGCGATCATCTCCAAAAGAAATAGGGTTCTATTCTGACATTAACCCCACCTACATTTTAAATTTCGTGAAGATCGGGCCATAATTGCGACCTGTAGAGTGATTACAAATTAACATGGACAGACGGACAGACGGACGGACGGACATACATAGCTAGATCGACTCAGCTCGGCGAGCTAGGAAGATCCATATATACTTTCCTATATGGGAAACCAATATTTCGAGGTGTTACATAAATTCTGGCCCAATCAAACTTATAATACCCCCAACACATAGTGTTGTAGGGTATAAACAGTAATTTTACTCTACTATATAAAAGTATCTGAATACAAACGTGTTCTACTTTAAACTACAAATACCAGTAAGACAGTTTGGCAGAAAAAGAAAATTCTCTGTAGACAATTTCATATTTGTAGGATTGTCATGTACCAAATCTTTTTAAATACCCAATTTGAAAAAAAAAATTGTGGGTAAATGGATTATTAAAATAACGAATATCGGTGGGTATCGTTATATGTGCGCTATAGGAAAATGTGACATAAATATTCCATGTTCTGTCGCCAGAGTTAGAACCCATTATGACCTAGAAATACCAATTTTTAGACAATTGTGTGGAAAAATGTGGCAAAAATCATCAAAATACCGAATAATGGCTATACGAAAACGTGGACCTATGCATACTATGTTCCGCCACCCATTACGAACTACAAATACCAATTTCTGGACAAATACGTGAAAAATGTGGCGAAAATCATCAAAATACCGAATATCGGGAGGTACCGTTATATGGCGGCTATACCAAAACGTGGACCGATATATCTCATTTTAAATACCAATCATCCGAGATACAGTAAAAGTTATATTGCCAAATTTGGAATCTCCACGTGAAATAAAGTGGGCTGTATCGTGATCTCAACAGACTGACCGACAGACAGATAGGATCGAAATAATGATTTTAGACCCTAGGTCTCTTTGGACCAAATCAGTTTCAGGACATTTGGAGTCGATCTAGCGGCTGGTTGGTGCGCACGACAACTCTCGAAGGGAGTATTCGATTTGTTCCAAACTTAGCACACCGTAATATTATTATCAAACGTATATCGAGTTCGGAGAAGGCCCATATCGGTCCACTATTTAAGGTGACTCCACCACAAAAAAAAAATACTGCACAGAAAAAGTAAGGACAATCCGATTTTTCTCCAACTTTGCAAATTAAAAAATTTCCATCAATGCTACGTAAGGTGTGAAAATGGACAATACTGGTCCAGTACCTCTCCCCAAAGGATCAAAATTTCGAATCGTTATAACTCTTATAAAATACAATGTAAGAGTTCGATTGTCTTCAAATTATACATAACAATATTTTAATTCACCCAAGGTCTGGTGTGAAGATGGAATATATCAGCCCCCTCTTTCTTGTATCTCCTCCACCAAAGGTTGAAATTTTTAAAAAAAATATTTTCTGCACAGAAAGATGAATGATCATCCGAGTTTTCTCCAAATTTGGAAATATTAATATTTGCATTAGTGCTACATCGGGTGCGAAAATGAAAAATATCGGACCACTACATCAAGTACCTCTCCACAAAAGGTCAAAATTTGGAATAATTCTTATAAAATGTGATGTAAGAGTCCGATTGTCTTCAAATTTCACACATCTCAATATTGTTATTAACCCAAGATCTTACGTTAAAATGGAATATATCAGTCTGGAGATTCCTCCCCCACAAAAGATCAAAATTGTTAAAAAAAATTATTTTCTACGTAGAAAGAGGAAAGATAATCCGATTTTTCACCAACTTTGAAAATATAAATATTCCTTTTTTCAATTATCAGTACTTCTATCAAATGTAAAATAATGGTTCGACTGTCTTCAAATATCGCTTATCCCAATATTTCTATAAATACAATATCTGTGATAAAGATGGTAGAGTTCGGACCATTCCTTCTGGTAGTTCCATCACAAAATTTCAACGTTTTAAATAGCCAAAACGTTTATAAACTCCGAAATAAGCATCCAACTTTCTTCATATTTCACACATCCTAACACAAGATTTGCTGTTAAGATGGGATATATTGGTCCATTCATTCTGGTACCTCCCCACAAAGTCTCGAAATTTTTAATATCCATGAAGCTCATAAAACGCGAAATTAATTTCCATTTCTATTCAGACTTGGTACATCTGAATATTTCCATCAACACCAGATCTGTTATAAAGATGGTAGAGATAGGACCATTTCTTCTGGTACCTCCCCCACAGCGAAAATAGCAAAATAAGCTCCAACTCTCTCGTTAAATTGCATACATACCAATATTTTTGATCTGTTGTGAAGATGATATATATTTGCGTACCCCTTCGGGTACCAGGTCAGGAAAGCGAGGTTAATTTTTTTCTATAGAGGAAAAACCCTCAGGAAACTGAGGCGATTTTTTCTATTGAGAAACAATTCGCAGGGAACTGGGGCTGATTTATTCCTATAGAGAAAAAAATTCCAGAGACAGATTTTTTTCTATAGGGAAAAAATCGTCAGGGAACTGAGGCTAATTTTTTTCTGTAGAGAAAAAATCTTCAGAAAACTGAGGCTAATTTTTTCTATAGAGAAAAAATCGTCAGGGAACTGAGGCTGATTTTTTCCATATTCCTTTGTTTGTCATAACTTTGCAAAACAAGTCAGCGATTCTTTACATCTAACCGATATCTAAATATTTCTCTCAACCAGAATCCTGCGATGGACATGGAATTTATGGTTTCGCATAATAATATAAATGTTCGATTTTCTTGTTATTTTGTCCATACCAATATTAATATCTGTATAAGATGAAGTATGAAAATGAAATACTTCGGTCGGCTATATTTAGTACCTCACGCATATTTTACCATCATTTAAAAATTATTATATATCTCATATAAAGTGAAGAAAATAACTATTACTGGCCAAACCTGGCACGCCGCAATATTTATATCATATCTATTTAGGTCCGATACGAAATGGACAATATTGGACCACTCCTTCGGAACCTACTCCATAGAAGATAAACAATTTGGATAATCGTAACAGAAGTCAAAATATATTTAAACAATCGAACATTGTCGAACATCTGTCGGCAAAACCGACTAATACTTTCTAATTTTTTTGATGTCTGAAAGTAACCTAAAACTTTGTATGAGGTATTTTTTTTTAAGTTTATGCTCTTTTGTGTTTCGGCCCCTTTAGCTTTAAGCTACATTGCCTATCAACGCCTTCACTTGTACCAGTGAAAATTTCCACCTAGTTTTGCTGTGGAAAATAAAGATAGCAACAATTTGATAAGCTTTTACTTGGTAATACTTGTCTGACGATTTTCAATCGCTGGAAACGGGTAAAG